GTGTTAGGTGTAGATTCCTTCTTGTGAGGTGGGCCTTGGGTCAAATCAGACATTGGTTGACGACTTCCACAGGTCCTGTGTCACCACTGTCCCAGTGTATTGTGCAGACAGGACAGATTATAGGTCAAAGGTTTGTGTGTTTCTCTTTCTGTATCCTGCAGAGAGTATCTTCCTGCATCAAGGAGACTAGAATGTAGGGGCGAGGGCTCTGAGTAGGTACCAGTTGTGTGGATGACAGTGGTAATGGGGCGTTGCTGTCATTCGGAGGACAGCCTTTTGTCTTAGCATCAGCCAGGGTTTGCAGGGGGGGGGCCGCGGGGGGGGCGGATTTCCTTTGGACTCTTGGCCAATGACTGAATTGAATGTATCCTGGTCCCACTACTGGAAGCTTTGTCTGGCTACAAGAGATGGCCAGATTCCATATGCCCCTCTACCAGGAGCCCTAGCCCACTACTAGGACCACCTTCATAGATAGGTTCCAGGAAGTTTCCACTGCACTAGGTTTCCACACCACCCCACAAATGCTCCTCAGTTTCAACAGTCTCTTCCCACACTCTCCCTCCACTCCATCTCCCTCACTCCTATCCAGTCCTGCCCCCAGTCCACCCACAAAAATCCATTCTAATTCCCCCTCCTAGGGAGATCTCTGCATTCCATCCTAGACCCCTCCTCTTCACTCAGCCTCTCTGGGCTTACAGATTATAGCTTGATTATCATTTACTTAACTGCTAATATCCCCTTGTAAGTGAGTACATACCATATTTATCTTTCTGGGTCTGGATTACCTCACTCAGGATGATTTTTTTCTAGTTCCATCTATTTGCCTGCAAATTTCATGTCATTTTTTTTTTTTTTAAACAAGCTGAGTAATACTCCATTATGTAAATGTTCTATAATTTCTTTATCTGTTCTTCTGTTGAGGGACATCTAGGTTTCCAGTTTCTGGCTATTATGAATAAAGCTACAATGAACATAGTTGAGCAAGTGTCCTTGTCATAGGCTGGAGCATCCTTTGGTTATAGGCCCAAGAGTGGTATAGCTGGGTCTTGAGGTAGATTGATTCCCAGTTTTCTGAGGGACCGCCATATTGACCTCCAAAGTAGCTGCATGAATTTGCACTTCCACCAGCAATGCATGGGTATTTGCCTTGCTCCACATCCTTGACAGCATGGGCTTGTTGATCTTAGCAATTCTGTCAGGTGTAAGATGGAATCTCAAAGTACTTTTGATTTGCATTTCCCTGGTGGCTAAGGAGGTTGAAAATGTCTTTCACCATATCTCGGCCCTTTGTGATTCCTCTAGTGAGAATTCTGTTTAGATGTATACCCCATTTTTAAATTGCATTATTTGGTTTTTTGATATCTAATTTGTTGAGTTCTTCATATATATTTTGGATATTAGCCCTCTGTCAGATATGGAATTAGTGAAAATCTTTTCCCATTCTGTAGACTATCTCTTTGTCCAATTGACAGTGTCCTTTGCCTTGCAGAAGCTTTTCAGTTTTATGAGGTCCCATTTATTAATGGTTGATCTTAGTGCCTACACTGTATTTTGCTCAGAAACTTGTTTCCTGTGCCAATGTGTTCAAGGCTATTTCCCACTTTTCTCCTCTAGCAGGTTCAGTGTGTCTGGCTTTATGTTGAGGTCTTTGATCCCCTTGGACTTGAGTTTCGTGCAGGGTGAGAGATATGAATCTATTTGCATTCTTTTACATGTGGTTTAGCAGAGGGTGCCTGCTCGAGTTGGGGGATGAGATACAGCCATAAGTGGAGGGAGGAAGGTTAGGGGATGGTCTGTGGAATCCACAGTCCTCTCTACAGCTGTAGCTCTCACTTTACATCCAGAGGTGCTACAGTAGCTGGCTCAACATAATCACTTAATGAATTTTAAGTTATTTTCACTTAAGTTCTGGCAAAACCATATTTCTGAAACATTTGAAATTTCTTGAAATAGTTTTTAGAGTTTGCTGTAAATCACCAGAATATAGTTGACCATACATACCTGTAGGCTTGGCATCTGTGGATCGAACCAATTGCACACAAAGGATATTCAGAAAAAAATTAAATCTATAATGAACATGTATAGATTTTTTTTGTCTCTGAACAATATACTACAACTGTTTATATAGGTAGTATTTGTCTTATAGTAAATCTTCTGAGTAGTGATTTGGATATCTGTGTGGAGGAGGGGTGTCCTAGATCCTAGGATGTCCTAGGATGCTGAAGGACTGTCCATCTTAGTGCAAGGACTCTTTTTCTGTGAGAATATACTTGTCATTTATAAACATCCAGGTTCAAAGAGTAAGATCAAGATAGTTTGTGTAATTAGATGTTAGAGTTGACTGTGATTTCACTGGGATTCTCTTTGTAAGATCGAAGGCAGTGCATATTCTGGTTTTCCTACAGGCGGCATCGACAGCATGCTCTACTTTGCACATTAGATTAAGATTCTTTTGAACATTGTGAAAAATCAAGCGGTATTAATAAATTCAAAAGACATGTGATCTTTAAAATTTCTCTCACTGGTTAACTGTCGAATGTTATGTGTAGCAACAAAGAATTAGGGGGGGAAATGATCAGAGGAACTACCTATGTTCTCATACACATCCAGATAGTTCTCTTTAGCTAGTGCCTGGGAGTCATGGCTGAAACAAAGGTTGAGTTCTCTGCTCACCACCCCAGAGGAGCCAGTGCCCTCTGGTGGTCAGTCTGGCACTGTGGGAGGACCCTGGAAGGAAGCAGTAGAGGAAACAAGCCAAGGAGACCAGTTTATAGAGGCAAGAGAGCTTAGGCAGAGTCACAAGGCATCATCGGATTACCACTGGCAGTGAACGGAAATCAGCCTACTAGAAAAACATCAAAAGCAAGAGTTTGAGAGGATCCAGGCATGGAAGACTAGAAGCAGTATTCCCAGGGTTGCATGGAAGCTAGGTGGTGATTGGTGCAGTCCAGGGGAGCTTTAGTGACCATGGCATCATTCACTGCTACACAGAACCTGGTAATACTCTATGCTAAGAGGTGCCCGAGAATTGAGTGTTTAGCCATTCCAGTGTTTATAAGATAATAGGTGTAAAATACTAAGTAAACTGCAAAGGCTTATCAGTGTATTATTTCTAAAAATGAAATTTGTACCCTGGATTTACCTCATAGTGTATGTGTTTGAATTGCTAATGTTGGGATGATTCTCTAGTGGGATTTGATGAAGGGATGCAGGGAGAAAACAGCTCGTATTCAGAAGTGTTGGGTGGGGGAGGGGAGAAGGTTGCACAGCTCCCCTGGTAGCTGTGCAGTTATACAGCAGGTGGGACCTGAACCTGGCTGCTGAGTCACTGTGGACCAGACCTCATAACAGGCCAGCACCCCTCAACTCTTGATTAATGTGTGCTTTTGAGGTACTGGAGGCATTATAGTTCTCATGGAATCTTGTTCCTAGCTTTCAGGTCATTCACCATTTGGGGGTATTATGTAGCTTGGCTGCGGAAGACAGGTTAGCAGGCAGCAACTGTGGAAAAATATATAGATTTTTTTTTATTTCTTCTCATTCGTCCTTATTTATCAGTATCAGTCTTGAAATTACTCTCAAGACGCCAAATTCTAGGTCTCCAATGTTCTAGAGGTGGTCAAGGAATATATGTAAAGTAACCTTTTTTTCCTTTAAAATTCTTTTCTTCAGTTCTTTTCTTAGTAGTACCAAGTGTGTAAGTGCAGGGTATTGAAGACTGGCCTCTGCAGGCAATCCGAGCCATTTAATGTGCTCTCACGACACATCTTGGTGAACTTTGTGTTAAACATATGATTGTATTCTGATAGAATGTTTTCATTTTTGGAAGCCAAACTTTGCCTCTTATTTCCATTTGTGATATAATAGAGTATGTGATAGTGATATAAAAAAATAGGGAGTCAGATAAAATAGTAGCAGAAGCATCTAAATATCAAATTTAGCTTTGGCAAATGCCCTGAGTAATGTCCTTTGGATAAGAAAAACCCAAGACACATACATTAGTTTCCTATTGTTGCCTAATAACTTGCAGTTTAACACACCATCGATATTTAGCTCACTCTTGTGGGCTCAAGTCCAAGGACTGAAAAAGTCTGCCATTCCTGTAGCTAGAGTTTTTCTCTCCGGGTCCCGCCAAGCCCCGGCAGTCCCGTAGCCCATTTATAAAATAAACATACAGACGCTTATATTATTTAAACTGTTTGGCCTAATGGTCCATGCTTCTAGCTATCGAGTTCTTATATCTTAAATTAACCCATTTCTATTCATTTATAAGTTGCTACATAGCTCGTGGCTTACCGGTATCTTAACATGTTGCTTCTCATCATGGCGGCTGGTAGCCACTCTCTCCGTCTCAGCCTTCCTGTTCCCAGAATTCTCTTTTCTGCTTGCCCCACTTATACTTCCTGCCTGGCTACTGGCCAGTGTTTTATTTATTAACCAATCAGAGCAACACACTTAACATACAAAACATCCCACAGCACATTCCCCTGGAGGCTGCAAGGGGAGAAGCTACTTCCTGACTTTTCCAGCTTCTCAAGGCTGTCAGCATTCCTGGGCTCACAGTCCATTCCATCTTTAAAGCCAGCAAGTGACCACCCTCCTGGAGTCACATGTGTTCTGACCACGGCCAGCAAGGCTGCTCTGCCTACAAGACTAGTGGATAATGCAAGATGTCCTCCCTGTCCTAAAGCCCTGAATTAATCTGCACTTTCCTGCTGCCCTGTGGAGTCACAGATCTTCAGGTTCTGGAGATTGGGCTGCAGGTATTGCAGGGGCCTAGGGCAGTGTTCTACCCATCAGCATGTGGAAATAGCTAGCACAAGCCTTCACTCAGAAAATATATTACCCTGATGTGCTTCTGATTTGATATCAGGTCTTTAAGAAATCTTCACTTAAGATACTTTTTTTTTTTTTTTTTTTTTTTAAAGAACCTACCAATTCTGTTTGGGTCTTAATCTCCAGGAATGCTAATGCTGGGTCTCTTTTGTTTGCTTTGATAGTGATAACCTGCTAAGAAGAGCAGCCTGTCAAGAAGCTCAGGTAAAGCCATTTCTGTGATAAAATTAAACGCCCCTTATCTCCATGGTGCAGGAGCCACAGCTACTCCAGGGACTCCCATGGGGTCTTGCATCAGTGCAGTTTGACTCTGTTCTCCACCTCCAGATGGATCAGGCTGTCAGCCAGTTCTGAGTAGAATGGGTGGAAGTTAGCCATCTGGTGAAGAACAGTTCTGACGCCCACCCTTTTAGACTTGTTTACTTCTGGATCACTCCCAAGAACACATAACCGGCCTGGCTGAAGAGCTGGGAACTGGCACATGTTCACAGTTATCCTTGAAGATCTGGATAAACCCTGAATCATTCCTGATTGAATCGCCCCCAGGGATAATGGTTCAGAGCAGATGTTACCTCTGAAAGTCAAATCTTGTTAAAATTGTTGACTCCTGCTTTTAAAGCCCATCTCCCTAACATGGCTGATTCATAGCATCGCACTGCCATCCAGTTCCCTGGGATTCTGCTTAAGCATCCGTTTCTCTGGCTATGCTGGTGATAGTTGAATTGTAAATCCTTTCAGATTTAAGACCCTGGCTTTGCTCTCTTCCTCGTTTGTAATTTATATCCTGTGACTCAGTGCCTTTTTGTTATATGCCATTTAAGATTGTGATGTCAGCAGTGCCTGAAGAGATGTATGAAAGTTAAATGACAGAGACCACATTTAGTAGAAGTGGGTGGCAAACCTCATGTTTGTTTCTGAAGTGTTTTCACTTTAGTAGATACTATTAATAAATCTTTCTTTGGTTCTAAATATGCTCTAAGAATTTGATTTTATTTCTGCACAGATATACCATCTAGTATAGCTTCAAGTTATTTAAAAATTAATTTAAATAAACTTTAAATTTTCTTTTAAAGATCAATGTGGTAGTTTAAACCTATAATTCCAGCTTCTGGGAAGCTGAGGCAGGAGGATTGCCATGAGCTTACTTTTTGTGTTACATAATGAGTGTCAGACCAGCCTGATCTGTACTGTAAGATTCTTTCCCAAAAAAATAAGCTTTTGGATTATTTTTTAATTGACACAATATTTTATACCTGATTATGAGTCTCAGTATGATACTCTGGTAGATGTATGCACTAGTTAGTGATCAAATCAAGGTAACTATTGAATAAACCTTAAAATCGAGTTCCAGCTGATACACCCTCCTCTTACTAAGGTAAATCCTCTGCCTCTGTTCTGAATCCCAACCCCTCTTACTTTCCCAGGAATAAGGTCTTGTTAGACCTTATTCTTCCCCCACATACTGACCTCCTTACTGTTCTGATCCTCCACTCCCCTGTACATGTTTAGCTCATTCCATGTGACTAAAGGTGGGTTGGTCCTCACAGCTTTCTCTACTTTTCCTGTTTTTTTTTTTTTTTTTTTTTTTTTACAGTCTAAATTAGTGAATGATTAAACTAAAAATCATGTAAACTCAACTCTAGTTTCACAAACATCTTAATCCATTATGGAACCTAGACTTGAGTTATAAGTATGGTTATTAATTCTAGGGACTAAGAAATGCGGACAAGGAGGGATAATTCAGTGCCATACATCTGGAATCTGGTTGGCCAGAGAGCTGGTGCCTTAGGGTTCTTAATGCTGTGAAGAGGCACCATGACCACAGCAACTCTTATAAAGGAAAGCATTTAATTGGGGGCTGACTTACAGTTCAAAGGCTTAATTCATTGTGTCATGGCTGGAAACATGGCAACACTCAGGCAGACATGATCCTGGAGAGGTAGCCAAGGGTTCTATATCTGGATAGAGTGCCATGCTGGACCTGGCTTGAGCATCTAAAACCTCAAAGCCTATCCCCTAGTGACATACTTCCTATCAGTCTATGGGGGCCATTTTTATTCAGACCACCACATTCCACGCTCTAGGCCCCTTAGGCTTGAAGCCATATCATAATGCAAAATGCATTTTGTCCAACTTCAAAAGTCTTATAGTCCATCACAGTCAGAACTATGTTTAAAAGTCCACAGTTCAAAGTCTCTGATACTCATGGCAATCTCTTACCTATAACCCATTGTAAAATCAAAATGAGAAAAAAGCAGATCGCATATTTCCAACATACAATGGCACAGGATACACATTACTGTTCCAAAATGGAGGAAAGGGAACATAGTAAGGAAATACTGGACCAAAGCAAGACTGAAAAACAGCTGAGTATATGAAGGGTCACCCTACCATATACCTGGCTTCAGCAGCTTTCCTTAGTTGAGGAGGGAGATCCATAACCCATTTCTTCTATCCTTATCTCTAAAGCCAGGACCATTTGGCCTAAGCTGCCAAGTTCTGCTGCTTGCTGGTGCTGGAAAATGGCCCCCTTGTTCAAATACATTTTCACCAGCTTATTGGTTTTTGATAGTTTCCTTCACTGCCTAAGCTTGGCTGTCCTGGGTTTTACTCTGTAGATCAGGCTGGCCTTGAACTCTGAAATCCACCTGCCTCTGCTTCCCCAGTGTTGGGATTAAAGGTGTGTGCCACCACTGAGCCCTAAACTTTTCTTTAATTCCTTTTCACAAGTTGGAAGCTTAGCTGGGTGGGGTCTTGCTATGAGTTTACTACTCCCTTTATCCCACTTAGCATCAGGACTTTCTTTAATCTATTTACACTTCCTGGTACTCCTTTTCTCTTTCAACTGTACATTTTGTATTTTTCCTTTCTTGCTCCTTTTCATTATAGATCTACATAAGAATGGCCACTAATAGCCACACAAGACAGTTCATGCTAAGTTGTATGGAAATGTCCTCTGCCAAAGCTGTTAATCCATAGTTCTTTAATTTAGCCTCAGGCAGAGTTTTTGGACAAGGGCAGAAAACAACCACATTTTTTACCAAAATATCACAAGAAAGATCTCTAGGCCACATACTAATATTCTTCTTGGAAACCTCTTGAGCCAGGTCCCCACAGTTCAAATCATCCTTAGCACTACTGTCTTCCTACTAGTATGGCCCATTAAGCCTCATTTAAAATGTCCAATCACTTTTCTAGTCCAAAGTCCCAAAGTGTTCCATATTCCTCCAGGCAAAAACATTGTCAGGCCTGTCACAGCAATACCCTACTCCTGGTACCAACTTCTGTCTCAGGGTTTCTATTGCTGTGAAAAGACACCATGACCAAGGCAGCTCTTACAAAGGAAAACATTTAATTGGGGCTGGCTTACAGTTCAGAGATTTAGTCCAGTCATGGTGGGAAACATGGCAGCATGTAGGCAGACGTGATGCTGGAGAGGTAGCTGAAAGTTCTACATCCAAATTGGCAGACAGCGGGAAGAGAGTGCTACACCTGGCCTGGCTTGAGCACCTGAAAACTCAAAGCCCACCCCCTTGTGACATACTACCTCCAGCAAGCCACACCACCAGTAATGCCACTCCCTATGAGTCTGTGGGGGCAATTTTCATTCAGACCACCACAGCTGGGTTAGTTGCTTCTTTCCTGGTGGAATTCTAGAATGGAGTGGAACTGAACAAATTATGATATTTGGAGATTTAGCAGTTTAGCAGCAAAATGTCAAGATCTGGGTAAGAGTAAAAAGAGAACAGAACTGATAATGGGCCAGGTAGTTGTTATTTTTTTTTTTATAAAGAAAATATCTTTTTGAAGTATTTGGAAAGAGAGAGAGAGAGAGAGAGAGAGAGAGAGAGAGAGAGAGAGAGAGAGAGAGAGAGTGTATGCATGTATGTGTGTATGTCCATGTGTATGCCTGTGTACTTGTGTCTATGTGGGCCAGAGGTTAGAATTGGTTGTCATCAATAGCTTTCCCACCTATTTTTGAGGTTGTTCCTTTTACTCAATTTGGAGCTTGCCATTTCAGCTAGACCTGCTGCCCCTAGGATCTGCCTATTTCACCTCCCAGCACTGGGGTTATAGACATACATTGACACTCTTGTTTTATATTAAGCGGCTCAATGTTATTTATTAAGTGGTGCTGTTTACCATGTGAGAGAAGCCAGGAGGCACAACAAAACCCACTATAAGAGTTTACTAAGGGAAGGGAACAGAAGGGGTGTACATAGGCCTATGGAGTGACCGTGCAGGAAGAGAGAGGAGGAATAAGTGGAACCCGCTTTTATAGGTTCCCCCCACACATGTACATATGGGCTTACATAGCTACGCCACTCATGGGTATAGATTACGTGATCACGCTGTGAGCATATTACATGATCACACAGTGCACGTGCTATGTAGGACATAAGGCCTGAGTGGGATGACTAAGCATCTTGCCTGGCTACTGGACAACACATGTACGGTCATGTCGCTGGGGGCGTGGCTAGGAATTCTAACAACTCTCAACTTGTTACCTGGGTGCTGGTGATCTGAACTTATTCTTTATGCTTGCACAACAAGCACTTTGCTCTTTATTTACCCGGTGAGCCATCTCCCTAGCACCGAGGGTTGTTTACTTAGAAGCAAGATGTAGAAAGAACCTCTAATGGACAATTGGAATGTGGTATGTTTGGAATGAGTTATTCAGTACAATATCTTTGTATAACTTTCTTTCTCTAATCTTTATACTTCTCTGCTAGCATTCTGTTACCATAGCCCAGACTTACTCCCCATTCCACCCCGCTCCCCCAGACAGGTTTTCTCTGTATAACAGCCCTGGCTGTCCTGTCACTCAATCTGTAGACCAAGCTGGCCTGGAACTCACAGAGATATGCCTGCCTCTGTCTCCCAAGTGCTGGAAAGGCATGTCCTACTACCACCTGACTAAGACTTGCTTCTTAATTTCCAAGACCTGACGTTTTTGCTCTGTTGAGTGTTTTTCTATCGTTACTCTTCTCATCAACTGCCCACTCCGATCTAGACATCACAGTAGTGGCTCCCATTCTGTTGACATTTTGAATCCTCGCATTGAATTCTGTGCTTCTTGATTACATTCAGCCTTAGAGCCCATGGACTAGAAAAGGGATGAGTAATGGGTTTCTTTTGTGTATACAGATGTGAAAAGTAACTAGTAACATATTTTGAGAAAAAGTTTTAGTAATAAACTGAAGGATTCAGGCTTTGTACCCTGAAAACTGAAGCCACGTGGGTTAAACTTCCCTTCTCATAGCCTGCGGGCCTTACAGGTTTTATGCTTGTAAATAAAGTCAGCTATATTTTCTAGAAGATACTGCCACTGGTATGGGAAGCAAGGTTTTTATCCTAGTGTAAAACAGGGCTCATTGTCATTGAATAGCAGTGTGCCTTTGTTCTGTTGCTTGTGTGGTTCTGTTATGGAGATCATGAATGAGCTTTTGTTCTTTGGCTGGAAGTAAATTCTTTGGGGATGGAAAAAATATATATATGTGATCACTAGCTGAATAAAGAGCATTTAATTGAAAACTTCTACTTTTTCCTTTTCAGGTGTTCGGCAACCAGCTCATTCCTCCCAATGCACAAGTGAAGAAAGCCACGGTCTTTCTCAATCCTGCAGCTTGCAAAGGGTATTTCAGCTTGTGACTTACTATATAAAAGCAAAAGGCAAGATCCGCATAGAGGCAGGTGGTTAGACTGTGTAGGAGTAGAATGACTGGGACCAACACGCTACAGCCATAGGCGCTATTCTCAAAGTGGAAGTAACCGTGACATGAACTGATGTTCAGCAAACACCAAGGATTTGTATCAGCTTGGGAGTGCTCCTCAGGGAATGTTTTCCTGCTTTGCATAATTGTGTTAGGCTGTCACCATAGACAAAGATGTACAGAGATGACCAAGAGCACTGTGGGCTCAGGAGGACAGTGTGTTCTTTCCAAAGAAGGGAATCTTAAGCTGTTCTTGGAGGAGACTGTTCATTATTCCCAAATGAGGGTGTGGTCTATAGGGCAGTAAACCTAGGAACAAGAACGACAGTGTTCCTCAGTAATTGCTGCAGAAAGGGATTGTGGGAATAAAGTGTGAAGAATAGTTGGGCTTTTGTTTAAAGTGCTGTAATTCTTGGTTAGTTGATTGTACCCATTGAAATGGAGGCGTACTATAAAGGCAAGGAGAGGGTATGGAGGAACTCAAAATTATCATAAGTGAGGGGAAAAAAGCCATAAGGAAAGTTTACAGTGTTAGTTAGGTGGTTGGAAATATAAATACAAAGACACTGACTATTTTGAAAAGAACAATTTAAAATTTACTTTTTAAAGAATAGAATGAAAGAACTGAAGAGGATAAAAATGATACCTATTATTGTCCCAGTGTCTAGATCAGTTGTGCTTTCTGAGGCTTGAGTAATTTGTGAAAGTATATTAGGTTGGATGCTATGCAATTTAAGTCACATGACATTGATATTTAGTTGGAACCAGATTTTAAATGTCTAGGTACTGTTGTCTGAAGCAAAAAGAAGCAGTGGCCCGAAAGTCAGTTTGGGGGATATGTAGGATCTTTTGGGGAAGTTTGAGCTTGACTTCACAGTAAGGGATATATTGGCTCCTTCTGTAAGTTGTACCTGATTATGCAGACTAACCTTGCTTAATGGACTATTGCTGGACTTGGTTAAGTCCACTACCCTTCTCCATAAACACCAATTCTCATACCAGTAATCAACCATATTGATAGGTTCTTGAACAGCACAGCCAAAGTACCCAGTACACCAGTCACTGTGGCCTAGTGAAGGCAGCAGAAAGCTCAGGGTGTGTCTGTGTATTGTTCTGCTTCTAAAGTATTCTGAGTTACTCAGCCTCCTAAGTCCTCAGTTTACTCAGCTATAAAACTCAGCATCAAAATACACAAAACCAAAACACAAACCTTAAGAAATGCTATGTAGAATACAGATATCTTTTGTATTGTATTAAATGGGATGGTGCTTGTGAGTGTTAGTTGTTTATAAAAAGTTCTGGAGGCTTGCTGCTGCTGCTGCTGCTGCTGCTGCTGCTGCTGCTGCTGCTGCTGCTGCTGCTGCTGCTGATACTGCTGATACTGTCAGCTTCTAGCTTGGTTCAGATACTCTCCACTCTGCACTCTCACTTTTCCTAACAACTCTTATAAGTCCCCTTTTACCCTCCTTTAAATGTAGCTCTTTGTTGTGCTTGTCCTTTAGAAATCTTCAATTTCTGGTGACAGGGTTTTGGCAGTTTCCTTAAGATAGAATTGATTATTCTAAGTTCTTGCTTCTAAGGAATACTTGGTTGTGAGGTTTTTGTTTTATTGTTTTTGCTGCTGTTTTTTTTTTTTCCTGTAGTCGAAAGTTTTCCTCTGTCCTGCCCAGTCCCTCAGCTGCTCAGACCCAAGTAAATACACAGAGGCTTATATTACTTATAAACTGTATGGCCTAATGGCTCAGGCTTCTTGCTAGCTAGCTCTTTTATCTTCATTTAACCCATGTCTATTAATCTATGTTTTGCAACGTGTTCTGTGGCTTTCCCAGTCTGCTGGCATTTTGCTCCTTGGGTATCTGGCTGGCATCTCCCCCTCTGCCTTTCTTCCTGTCTCTCTCCTCAATTTCCAGCCTAGATATAACCTGACTTGCCATAGGCCAAACGGCTTTATTTATCAACCAATCAGAGCAACATATATTCACAGGGTGCAGAAAGACATCCCACAGCATGTTCCCCAGGCCACATTGTTTTTATATTCACAAACTTAATTTTTATGCAAGATTTAGGCCCTTCTTACATCTTGCATATAACTGTATATACTAAAAGTTTTTTCTTTTTACACACACACACATGCACACACACACAGCACGCACACACATGCACACACATGTGTATGTGTGTGCATACGTGTAGGCACATGTACACATGCATACAGAGAGGCCAGAGGTTGATGTTGGAGAGCATCTTCAGTCTCTCTTCCACTTTATTTGTTGAGGCAAGGTCTCTCAATCAAACTCAGAGCTTGTCAATATGTCTGCTGTCCCTAACGAGCTTGCTGTCCCTGTCTTCAGAGGCCCAGCTGGCCACCATACCGACTAGGCACTTAGGTGGGTTTTGGGGATCCGAGCTCCAGGTCTCGACACTGGAGCTTGTGCAGCAGCCTCAGCCACTGAGCCGTCACTCCGCCCCTATTTACATCTTTAAAGTTAGAGCAGATTCATGTTCGCAAGTGCAGCACTTTGTCTAAAGGCAGGTTAAGATGCTGCCACAGATGGCCTCCCCTGAGTGCATTGCTTCCTATAACAAGGTGGATCCCTACATGCATGTAGGACACGGATGCTCTGAAACTCCCCAGCACCTTCTGTTTTAAAGCTTTTACTATTTAATGGCACTATTTTTGCCATCATCCCCATGCACTAACCCAATGTATAATTTATTGTACAGCTTTCTCATTATGTAGGACTGGTTTAAAACTTTAGGAGAACCTTAAGAAATAAGATAACTGTGTGTTTAATGTTAATAAATAATACATTAAAGAGTAATTATCTTGTGTGGTGCCTGAGTCTAGAAATTGCTGTAAGTACATAAAGTTTTTATTCAGGCCTGGTGCTATTGCACCCTTAATTATGTAATAAATAATGTATTTCTTATTGGCAACACTTGTTTTTCAATCTGAAGAAAAGTCTGCTTTTATTTTAGAGATTTTTCTGAACCTGTGGCATCATATAAAGATAAGAATAAACAACAAATGTCTAAATGGCTTTTCTGAAACTCACAGGAGGCTACAGATTTGTTATGATTGATATGACAGATTGAGACTTTTGCTTTTAGGAAATAGATCTGATCCCCTCCCAGCTGTTCTGCTCTTATCATTGCAGCAGTACAGGCATCCCTCAGAATGTTCCTAGCTCCACCTTTTACTGTGGTGCAGACATGGAGATGGGAAAGAGGGAGTTCATTCCCATGTAGCCTTTCATGTTCATTCTGTTAATTGTTCAAGGTGGCAAATGTTTAACTTGCTTATGTTCCCAGTTAGGGCCTTGATGGCTCTTGTGGAATCCTGTGCCATCTTTTCTGTTTCTATCATAGTTCCTGAGAAGTAATGTTTATTTTGTATGCCATTTTGTGGTTCTAGCTTTCAAGAAAGATGGTGAAGGATTTGTTCTGTGTTCACCTCCTGAGTATTCCTCCTTAGCTGCCTTTGTATTTTTCATATAAATATCCTTAAGGAAGATAAAGCATACCTCACTGGTTTTTAAGGAAACTGAATTTTAGGAAAAGAGCTAAGTAAATATGTATGTAGAAGTTAGATGTTTTAATACTGTGTGTGTGTGTGTGTGTGTGTGTGTGTGTGATGTTGAAAATACCAGGGTAATAGACAGGCCAACTAGTTCCTGTATTTTGACATTTATTTGATTTCAACTCTGCCATTTGTGCAGAGAGATTTTTTGCTATTTCTACCTTTGAGCCCTGGACTGTTTTTTGAATCTTGAACTGAATTGGAGTGCACTAACAGAATGACATTTATGAGAAATGCACAAACCCAATCAAAGGTTGTTTAATGATTTCTGTAATTGTAAGATATCACAGTCAGTAAGGTACCACAATCATGTTTGCCTTTCCTCAGAATTTACCTGTCTACATTTGGAGATTTATTCACTCATTCATTTTTATATCAATCTATCAGATATTTAGTAAGTGCCTTTGAAATATCCCATCTTTGAAGTTGGAGGATTCAATAATTACTAAGGACTGGTAACTATTTTTTGCAAGCTTCTTATCCAGTCCTAAAGAAAGGCCATCCTCATCATGCATTGAGAACATTGTTGATGGACAGATATATCAAATGCTAGAGGAACAGAGATGGGCTTCCGTTCTTGGGAGATGTAGACCAGCTCCTCATTAATTCTCCTTGTTAGTCATCTAACCTAACAGGTACCATTGACTTTTCCTTTCCTAGCAAAACCTCAGCTGTCATGGAAAAAACTTTTGAGCTCTCTCTACAAGTTTAAAGATTTGAGATGACTCCTAGTGTTTAATTTTAAAAACTTAAAAAAAAAATGTATCTCTTCCCAGGAGATCATGCTGATTAGCAAAGGATTAAGTAAATCTGTTTTGTTCCCCTGGGCCATATGAATCATGTTACAGTACATACCTCTACTTCCTTTATTAGAATATAAGTAAACTGTAGTAGCATGCCTGTGCTCTGAGAGTGTGAGTTTTACAGACAAGCCCTGTTTCTGTCGTATCTGCTCCTCTGCTGGGTCTGGAATTGGCAATTATGAGTGGGTCAAGCTTTGTTGTTTTGACTGTTCATTGTTTGTCTAGTGAGAATGTAGCATCCCAAATGTATACAAGCTGATTGTTTGAGACAAGGGACAAACTATTTTTCTATCTATGGTAACTCCCTGTTGAACTTCCTATACTGGAACAAGTAAGTCTGTGTTCTCTCGGACACATGATTACATTTTTATTCTCAGCTTGAGAATATGTCTTAAAGTAATTGTGGTTTTTTTTTTCCCTTTGTCTACAGCAAAGCCAGAACTCTATTTGAAAAAAATGCTGCCCCAATTTTACACCTGTCTGGCATGGATGTGACGGTTGTCAAGGTGAGGAGGACTCTAGAGTCTTTATTTCACAGGACCACCACTTCTAATATATCCTTTGCTCTTACCTTCTAAACAGAACTCAGTTTTTTCATTTAAGTCAAGAAGAAACTCAATGTTGTATCATATTCATATTCTATTAATTACTCAAAGAAGTTTTGTTTTCTCTTGACATTGTCTGCTTTTCATTTCAGCACAAGCTCACGTGAGTATGTGGAGCAGGGGCCCACATGGGTGTGTGGGGCAGGGGCTCACATGGGTGTGTGGGGCAGAGGCTCACATGGGTGTGTGGAACATGGGCTCACATGCGTGTGTGGAGATCCTGAGACTTTCCCTCTGAGAGGCAGCAGGTGGAGTTATCTCTTAGTTATCAGAGTGTGTTCCCCAAAATACAAAGCCCTCCAGTTTGAGTGGTTTAATTTCTTGGTAGTTCCCCTAGCAGGTAAACATTTTCTTGCTTGTAAAGAATTATTTGTGACTAGGAATTTTAAAAAGAATCATTAGAGTTTGGATTTTTAGGTAAGAAAGAAAAAGGATAAAATAAGTTAGAAGGAATTGTTCATTTGAGACAATGTCCCCGGTTTCCATTTTGGTGAACTTCAAGTGGCATATGTGTGTGTGGGGTGTGCATTTAGTCAAAACCGGCCTTCTGCTATGTTTGTTTTTAATTAATTAAAGAAAATTGTGTGTATGTACGTGCACGGCATACATGCCTAGCGTCCACAGCAGCCAGAAGAGAATGTCAGGTTCTCTGGAACTGAGCTACAGGCAGTGGTGAGCCACCATGTGGGTGCTGGGACTCAAACCCAGATCCGCTGGAGGAGCAGTAAGTTCACTTGACTGCTGAGCTAACGCTTCAGTCCCTGCCCCCTCCCGTGTTTTAAACCTGTGCTTCTTTTTTAATTATTTTTTGAAATTACAATTGCATCATTTCTGCCTTCCATTTCCTCCCTCTAGATCCTCCCATATTCTCCTCCTTGCTGAAACACTGTTTTTAATAATATTTTATTGATTCTTTGAGAATTTCATATAAAGTATTTTGGTAATTCTCATCCCCACTCCTCCCCCAACTCATCTCAGATCTGTCCCCCAACTGTACCCCCTAATTTCCCAACCCCTCCTAACTTCATGTCTTTAAAAATAAATAATTCAGGCAATTTTGTGCTGCCATCTCCGGAGTTTAGTGGCCCTACCAGGGACCACCCCTTAATGACAACTTCTCTTCCTTCCTGAGAAGCCACCAGGTGTCACGAGCTCCTTAATTAGTGCTGGCAGCTCCCAAGCCCCTCCCTTCTCCATCCTAGAATGATTGGACTGCTGTGAATGTATTTCTAAATTACACTTTGAGTATCTCATAGAGATTAGAAGGTTGTGTAGTATAATTGGCCATACAATTCTGAATTCTCGTTTCTAACTTGTCAGGCTTGATCTTGCAGTTGCTTGCCTTTGGGGTTAGGAGAAAGGAGAAAACATTTTCATGAGCATCTATAATGTGCCACAGTCTAGGTATGAGAGCCCTGAAGATGATCATGTACAATCAAATAATAGTTCCTTATTGTTTGATGAAACTCTTGGCTAAAACTCTGAGCCTGGAGCTTTGCTGAAGGGAGACACTGCATATTAGGCTTTTGTAATAGTTCTACAAGTTTGTAAGTTCTGTTTCTCTTTGGCAGTATACGTTCAAGGCATTTGTTCCTCTTAGTTGGTTTTCAGATGAGTTGGCATCAGGTGGTTCATAATGTCCCCTTGGTACCTTTGAACTTTGTGTAGCTTTTGTAATGTCCTGGTTACCTTTCACCTTAGCTGTGCCTGCTTTGTTGCACTGGCACTGACCCCCCCCAACCCCCAACCCCCGACCCCCGACCCTAGTGGTCTTCAAGATATTTTAGCTCCTGCCCAAGACCCAGTTTGCCTGTGAATCTTCTCACTGACAAGGTTGTTTCATTTCTGGTCTTTCTTGAAAAGTTACTTCCTTCATTTTAATTTTTTTTTTTTTTTGTTGCTCTTTGTTTGACATTTTCATGGGTTTATTTTATTTCCTTCCTGTATGTATTTAAAGCTGTAGACTGTGTTGCTTCATCTGTGTCCTGTCACTTTTGACACAGTTCTTTCACTATCATTTCTAACTATTTTCTCATGATTGTGCATTTACCCATTTCTAAAGATAATTTTGTCTGATTTTTGCTTGACCTGTGAATTAATTTCTAGGTCTAAAGTTTTGCTGGGTATCATTTTGTTAATGATTTCCGAATTAACTGCATCACCATCAAAGTAGTATTCTAAAAATAAAAGAAAAGAAAAGAAGTATTCTATATAATTTCAGGATCTTAAAGCTTATTGGGATTTGTCTTTATGTCTGGATTGAATAGTCTGAGTAATTGTATCGACTAGATATTGTGTTCTGCTATGACCTACAAACCAAATCTGTTCATTATGTACTACAGATCTTCTCTTTCCCTCCTGTTTTTTTTTTGTTTACTTTGCTTTTATTGATAATAACTAAACTATCCTGTTAGAAGTTGCAAATCTCCTAGTATGATTGTGCATTTGCCCATTTCTGTAGATAATTTTGTCTGGTTTTTATTGTTGTATTTTGAGATGATTAACTATCAAGGAATGTTTGTTATAAATGTGAACCTTAGCCTATAGTGGCTTACCCTTTCTCCTGTCCAACTGAAGATATGTTTAAACCCATTTCTCAGCATGCTGTGCATTGGTACCCAGCACCTTGACTAAACTATTGCTTTTCTGATTAGGTTCTTGTTGGTCAACAGTATGTATTTAGAAATGTCTTGGTGTTAGTCTCCTCAGGAATCCTTAGTGGCATGAATGGAGAATATTTTTGATGGCCTTACTCACGTGTTAGGTTGATGTGACTGTTGTGTGTGGCCCATGTGGTCTCCACCAAGCATCCTCACAGGGTAGCTGAGTTCTCTGAAATAAACACTATCAAATTTATTTCTAAATACTTGATTATATATGTTTTAATAAGGAAGGACATTTTTCTGTGTAACTATAACAACATCTTTAGACCCAACAAATTTAACAATTCCTTAATACCAAAGGCTTATGGCCTTTTGTTCATATTTTATAATTTTTCAAATTTAAGATACTCGGCAATTATATATGAAAACTAGTATACTATTTATGTTACATGTTCAGAAAATAGGTATTAGAGAGAGATTTAAATCTTAGTAGAAATATTGATTTTTTTTCCTGTAGTTTAATTGAAACTATTAGTCTTTGAAAGGTTAATTTCTTTTATATTAAATTTTATTTGGAAACAATTTAAAATTTGCAAAAAGTTACAAAAACAATACATACATATTTATCTGCTTCATCCAGACTACTTACATTTTACTGTGTTTGCACATAATTTCTCTTTGCACAAATGTGCATGTAGGTATATAATATATATAGGAGTTCCTGCATTGTTCTTATGGATGATGTCTTAGGGTTTCTATTACTGTGAAGAGACACAATGACCACGGTAACTCTTATTTTTTTTTTTTTTTTTTTTTTTTTTTGGTTTTTTCGAGACAGGGTTTCTCTGTGTAGCTTTGTGCCTTTCCTGGAACTCACTTGGTAGCCCAGGCTGGCCTCGAACTCACAGAGATCCGCCTGGCTCTGCCTCCCGAGTGCTGGGATTAAAGGTGTGCGCCACCACCGCCCGGCCACGGTAACTCTTATAAAGAAAACAGTTAATTGATGGTGGCTCACTTACAGTTTCAGAGGTTCAGTCTGTTATCATCATGAGGGGGATCATGGCAGCGTGCAGGCAGAGGTGGTGCTGGAGCTGAAAGTGCTACATCTTGGCACAGAGGCAACAGAAAGTTGACTGACTGTCGCACTGAGTGAAGACCTCAAAGCCCATCCCCATAGTGACACACTTCCTCCAGCAAGGCCACACCTCCTAATAATGCCTTCCCTCTGGGGGCCATTTTCTTTCAAACCATCACAGGTGAAATCATTGATCCCTGATGAATGAACTCATCTTTCAGCTCCTCTCCCTGTCCTGGAAGTCGGGGTGTGGAGCTCAAGGTTCTAACTCTTAAATCATTTGTTGGCTTCTCTGGTGACCAGCTCCCAAAGTTGCCTCTATAACACACACTCTGGTATGCTTAAAGGGTGCTTCCTGTGAGTAACAAAATAATTTCCATGGATCTTCAGAGCTCTATGCTAGGAACAGGGCACAAAGACCAGGTATTTCAGATTATACTACAGGTGTTTTAGCCCATCTGATATTTCAGTATTTAGGTTTTGCCTGCTGGTGTGTCTTGTGTATTTTGAATTGGAGGTAGTATTTCTATTTCACTTGCTTTATGCCCTTTAAGCTTTTAGCATTTGTCTGCAGGGCTGTATATATCAATGTACACCCTGGTGGTGGCTGAAATGTACATTTAAATGTATGCATATATCTGAGATGAACATTCTTAGTAAAAATGGGAAGGTGGAGTGTTCTTCTGTGAGTACTTCAAAACACACCTGCATTTTTTATGTGCCATCATAGCAAAACAATAATAATCTCCATTTACTTAGCATAGTACCAGTTGCAAATACTTACTTTTCTAGCTGTTCTAAATTATGCTGTGTAGCAATAGTACAGGAAGCCATGATTATCCCTCTCTTGATACACGGAAATTCATTGATAAGGAAATTAAGATCTAGCGAGTTTAAGGCTACTCAGCTAAAAAGTAGCAGAGCTGAGATTTACCATAGGTCTCTTGGGCTCTGAAATCAGTGCTCTTTTCATTACATCTACTTCCCCATTTGCATATGCGCTTGACTTCCTGCCTTCCGATGAAAAGCGGTGTGTGAACAATGTAATAGAAGCCACACTGACTCTTGGGCTGCCTAGAAGTATAACTAAAACAAGGTATTGGGCTTGAATTTTATTTTTAAATAAGGAGCTAAGTAGATAGTTTCTGAAGCCCTTTCTGGCTCAGAAAGTCTAAAACTATAAAAATCCTTACTTTGTGGCTTTCCTAGAATTTTCTTGTCTATCAACTGTGTAAAATTAATAGAGTCAGTGTAAAACTTTAAAGAACATATCTCACCTTTTCATCCTTTGAACTTGTGGACCTACAGTGACAGATTTACCAAAGCTTTGTTTTGTATTTCAGACAGATTATGAGGGACAAGCCAAGAAGCTCCTGGAACTGATGGAAAGCACAGATGTGATTATCGTTGCTGGAGGAGATGGGACACTGCAGGAGGTAGGGTCCTCTCCATCCATGGACATTTTTAAGGGGAGAAACATGGAACTTAGGTTCTAGGACAATGGCGACAATAATTAAGGAAATTGTTGTAGTTCATTATTTTAGGGCTGTTGCTCACAAACTACTACAGCCCTGAGCTTTTCTCCTGTACTTTTCTTGTTTTTTGTAAACTTTCCTCCCAGCAAAAAGAAGAGTTGATATGTAGTCAAATTTGTTTGACAAAATTCGATAGAACAAGCAAGGCTCTATAATCCAAGCACTTGGGATGAAGCGGGAGGTCTTGAGGTCCAGTTAATCTTGGACTACATAGCAAGACTGACCTCAGATATCGAGTGAGACAGGAGGCAAAACGGGAATGGATGGGCTGAGCTTGTTGTGCTGTGCATCCTGTTATACAGTAGCTCCGTGATGGTGTCACAGGTGGACCTGTGTCTCATGGTGTCCCCGAGGACAAGTTCTCATCACATGACAGTTTCTCCCAAGAATACACCTCTCTGCCCACTCACATCATTCCTGCTGTGTAGAAAGTTAACTCTTAATACTGCATTTATAGGAAGAGGTGCTGCGTGTTCAGGTGTATGAGTCTGTCTGCTTTCCTGTTGTTGTTTTTGAGGTTGGTTGGTTGGCAGTCAGGGCTAGAGAACAAACCTCACGTATGCTGGGCAAGCACTCACCGCTGAGCTCTAGCCCTAGCCCTCTCTTTGTTCTAATGTTAATATCACTCACCCTTAGTGAGATGCTACACCTATTAGAATGGCCGGGATCTAGATCACAGGCAGTACCCAATGCTGATGAGTATGGAGCAGTAGGAACTGTCATTCATTGATGGTGGGAATGCAGAATTGTTTAGTCACTTTACCAAAAGGATAACCAAAAGCCAGGAGAAACAAAACAGAAAACTGAGCATACCCTTACCATGTTATCCAGCAATTGTGCTCATTGAAGTTACTCAGAGGAGTTCACAACTATTGTGCATACAAGAAAACGTGCACATGGCCGTTTATAGTGTCTTTATAATCGACAAAACTTGGAAGAAATGAAGGTCCCCTTTAATAGGTCAGTGGGTAAGTAGAGTTGCATATCCAAGTAATGGATTATTTAACATGAAAAACAAACAAAGAATTCTTCAGTTATAACAAGACTTGTAGGAAGCTGTATATTAAGTGAAAGAAACCATGAAAAGACTTTAGTTTACATACAGTTCAACTGTTAGACATGTGGGCCAAGCAAAAGTAGAGAGGAAAAAGGTAGAGCTGCCTGAAGTTGGGAGAAGAGAAGGATGAGTAGTTGGCGCACAGGACTTGTAGGGCAATGAAAATACTTTGGAGATGATACTGATGGCCAGGTGTCATTACATGTTTGTTAAAATCCATAAAATGTACAACACAGAGTGAACACCAATCTAAACAATAAAGTTTAGATGTTAACTTTAATGTAGGATCATTAGTTTCACCAGATGCTGTACTTTACTTTACACCATATTGCATTACTGTGGCCTTTGAGCTCTCTTTGATGGCTTCATTAGTGTGAGGGATCAGAAATGAACAGTAGGGACTGTCCTGTGTCTGACTTGGCATCTGTATGGGCCTTAGTAAGCTCCTTTTTTAAAAGGCTCTGCTAATGATCTTGTAATTGTTTTTATAGCTTGTTAATGAAATGTGAAGAGTTCTGATTGCCTACAAAGAATGCAGTAGACCATAGACAGCCCGTGTAATACTGAAACCCAGTTAGGTGGGACAAGAGAAAGGAATGAGATGTGTCAACCTTTAATTTTTACAAATGTTTTTACAAAGAGACAGTGAATTGTATATTTGGTGCATTTGCAGACATTAAAGTAGACATTGGCTAGAGAAGGGATTGGTTAGGTATGATGGCTCACACCTGCTTCCTGGCACCAAGGAGGCTGAGTCAGGAGGAATGCAGTGAGTCTAGGCTAACTAATGAGACCCAGTCTCAAAAAATGAATAAAATAAAATGGGCAAGTGATTAGTGTTAGCTGTTTAGCCCCTTTGTCTTCATAGCCCTCAGGAAGAAACACTTGAGTATGGATTTCTGAAAACAGTAAGGCATCTTTCTCTCTGGGTACCTCAAAGGGGTAACATAGGCTTTTCTGCATAGTTGAAAAGAGCGCACATTTCTGTAGAACCTACAACATATAAACATTAGTACAGCTACATTTTGTAGACCTTGAAACATAATTTTACTAATGTAATGTGGAATTTTTATAATTTATCTTAGTTTTTATTATTACTTCTAGGTTAAGAATAAAATCCAATTTATCCCTGATTATATTTGAGAAAATGATGTGTTTTTAAGATCTAGTACATCATTTAAAATAAGTTTCTAGAAGAAAACAAATAAGTTTGTGGTCCATGAAATTTGAATCTAATTTTGTTATGATAAATGAAATGCATGTTGTTTATAATAATTTTCTTACATTCATAGGTTGTTACTGGAGTGCTTCGAAGAACAGATGAGGTGAGCTTGTAACAACACATTTAAGCTTTTACTTTTTATCATTTTTTTGTCTTTTGCTCCTCATGATGCATACATACATATTTATATATATATGTACGTATGTATGTATAATTATACACATACATATATATGATGTACTGAGGATTGAACCCAGGGCTTTGGGCATGCTAGATGAGCACTGTACCACTGAGCTACACCTCCAACCCTTTATTCATTTGAGACATGGTCGTGATAAGTTACCCAGGCTGGCCTTGAACTTGTAGTTCTCTTACTTCAGTCTCTGGAGTCTCTGGGATTCCAGGCATAGACCACCATGCTCAACTCCTGTGTTACAGTTTCAATCCAGTGCAAATGTGATAGAATTTGATTTTTGAACAGATGATATAATACTGTTCCTCTGTCATAGGTCATTCTCATGAACCATGGTGGACTTCCTGTGTTGGTAATCTGGAGTACCAGAACATTTTAACAGCAGTTTGTACTATATAAAAATTTCCTGTAGAATCTTTTCCTCAAGGAATTCTTTCATCAATTAATAGTGATGTGTTCATATAAGAGGGACCAGATAGCACTGAAATGAATGAACTAGGCTAATTTGGTTAAGGGTGAGCACAAGGACCTGAGTTTGATCCCCAGGATCCATATAAAATCAGCTGGGTGTAGTCGGTGGTGCTGCTGGTAATCCCAGTGCTGGCTGGCAAGGAGAGCTGACTTTGCAGGTTTCAAGCCCTGGGTGAGACCTTGTCTAAGAAAAATGTGGACAGTGCCTAGAGAACAGGATGGGAAGTTGCCCTCTGGTCTCTTTGTGTGTCCCAAAACCTTACCCTCTGCCTGTGCACCGACAAATGTGTATGCATACACAAGAATGATCTAGATATAGAAATATCTACATCTTTAGATCTTAGAAATGTTAAATACAAAGTAAGTTTCTAAAAAAGGTGATATATATTTCTATATGGTTTGAGAATGCAGAAAACAGTACTGTCACTGTGTGTTATTTGGTATGTAACTATATAGTAAGAAAAAATAATGTAGTTGGAAAAGAGTCATACCAGCCTAGCATAATGATTTTCTCAAAGAAGAGGCAAGCAAACAGGATCTCAAAGGACTTCATCTGTCTCTGCCTGATTATTTACTTATTAATTTTTATTTTGCGATCCTATTCCTTAAAATATCAGAAGCAAAATGGTAAATGTTCTTAAATCTGAGTTGTGGGCTTATGGGGTTTTGTAAGATTTCATTCATTGTCCTGCCATAGTTTAAACTATTTAAGTAGAAACAGAGGGTGGATCCAAAATGGTCTTTTGGAGTCTTTAAGTAACACTGTATCTGTGACATTTAGTTAAACCCCTAGTTTGTCATTAACTGACAGCTGTTTGACTCACTCTCTTTGCCTTGTTTGTATTTGAAGGAGCTTATGAAACACTGTCACCTGTCATTGGTCACTGTAGAAACAGGGATTTTTAGTTGAATTACCTGTGTATTTCTTATCTAGTGTGATCGCTTAGTGTGACTCTCAGACTGGGTAATTGCTCCAGTAGTTGTAAGACTGTCGTTATCTTAACCCAGTTTCCTATAAAGAATTGCACTTACTGAGTACCCAAATCTGTCTTCTAAATTCCAAGTCACTGTGTTTCCACGGCCTGCTGTGTTTTGGAAACTGCTCACTTGGAGCGTTTGCTTGCTGGCCTAGGGATGGGGAATGGAGATGAGAAGGAAGACACAGGCCAGACTCTGTCATAGAGGACACACATATGCCTCTCTGTTGAACTTAATTTTCTGATTATAACAGTGAAACTTTCTCTTCTTTTTGTTCTATCAGGCCACCTTCAGTAAGATTCCAATTGGATTTATCCCGCTGGGACAGACCAGTAGTTTGAGTCACACCCTCTTTGCCGAAAGTGGAAACAAAGTCCAGTAGGTTGTCAATATGGAATGCTAACGTTTCTGGATGATAGAGCCTAGGACTGAAAACCACATGCATGATAAAGTTGACTGATCGTTTCCTTTAAGTACACATGGTGACAAATAGCAAGTCTTTGTGGGAACTGACCTGTTAGCCTTGGCTTCGTTATCTTGGTGACGTAGGCAGGTAAAACAACTAAGTACAGTCACGTCCTTTTGTGACTGCCTGGAGTGAGTGGTAGGTAGTTGGATATAGCAGACAGGAAAGGCAGTCAAGTCCTGACATCTAAACTAAATTGCTGAGAATCTAACAGTGTCTTTAGGAGTCAGGCGAATTGTTGTTTTAGTAGTTCTTTTTTCTTGAAAGCTTTAGGGAACAAAGCCCAAATCCTTCAAAAAGGTAGTGATCTTGAATTTGAGGCCTGGCTTTCACAACAATTAATAATATAATCTTGAGCAAATGTTGTCAAAAGACATAAGTAAATGGAGTGTTGGGGAAATCATTACACAATATGCAGTGTAAGGTTTGTGACAGTTAGATGTCAGGAAGTAAATATTTGCTGAAGGAATTAGTTAAAAATTTCTCAGAATTTTTTCCTTGCTATAACCTTCTAAGTCAATAATAATGATACTCAAGTGACTTTTTTATTTGAGTTAAAAAAAAGTTTTTTTTCTGCTTTAGAGTGTTTTCTTAGACTGGTTCTTATAGCTTGACTTTCCCTGTTAGAATTTTGAGGGCCAACAATTATATCTTTTAACAATTCTGTGCTGTTCATAAAAGCCCGGGTACATATAAGAAAACCCAGGCGTGCATATAGATATTTATCAGCCCCTCATTCTGATTTCTCTCAGGTGTCACAGGATTCTTCAGCCATTCTCCAGTCATCCTGAGGCCTAGCAAACAGGGAAGTCTTTTAAAGGGCCATACTGTTTGGTCATAGGTTAGAATTTTTGAGGGGCAACAGATAATGACTGATGAATGACTCAAACATTTTTGCTGATCTGATATAAATCCTATACAGTTTAGACTTGACTCCTTTAGTGAGCTTGTCTTTTCTTGATCAGTGGAGATTATTGAACAGCTTTAGCCAGCATTGCCAATAGCATGTCAGTGATCAGAGATAGGCTGTTTTCCTTCCAAAACCCTTGTCTGTCCGAAAGCCAATTTACACTCACATGTGGATACCCCCAGGATCTGAGATAGTGTTCTGCTTTTTTGGAGCAGTTTTTCCATGTTCTCAAACTACTGTTATTGCTGCTTCTATTTATAATTTAAAGATTAATAAAATCTAATCTATAAGCATGCCCCGGGGCCCTTAGGTAATCAGCAAGTCTGCCATGGGCTCAGAATTTTTGCAGACTTTTTAACATGGCTGCTGCCTGAGGCTATTTAAAAAGAACAAAGCTTTGCCTTTGCCCTGCTGTCAAGATTTCTTGTCACATAATTATTAAAGAAGAAAAACGTCTTTTTTCTTGGAATGTGGCCTGTTGCAGGTAAATAATCCTAAATGCCAGGCTACAATGCTTCTTTATTAGAATTTGAATTATTGTTAGAGAACGATACATTTGAGCTTGCATTTTTGTTGTCTTCTGCCAAACAATTTAGAGATGCAATTTAATGCAAAAAGTCTTTTTGAATTGTAATAATTTGGATTCTTTTTAAGTCAGTCTCTCGAAGGCACTTTCTAAGGCTCTCCCCATTTGCCAGGTGATGTGTACATAAAGTACAGTGCACACATCATCTGTAGTGCTTCTTTCATAACCCATACACACTCGGACAAACCAGCCTAGACTTGGGAGCATGCTTCTTGCTTTCTCCAAGTCAGATCTCAATTTTTAAAACTTTGCTACTCACTCCCCACTCATATCTATATTGAAAGGAAAATAATGGGTTCACAGATAAATATGGGTATTTTGCCTACATATAGAATTTCTGATGCCCAAGGAGGCCAGGAGGGGGCACTGGATCTCCTGGAACTGGAGATACAGATGGTAGTACACCTCATGTGGGTACTGGGAATTGAACCAGGGCTCTTTGCAAGAACAGCAAGTACTCTTAATTACTAAACCATCTCTCTAACCCACAATGGCTTACACTACATAAAAGGAAAAAGGCCTCCAGACAGCACAGCACTGTTAGGTATAGTCAGCAACTGAAACTCATGTATGGATGGCAGGAAAGCCAGGTAGTGCAGCCTTAATAGGAACTATTGTGGCTGTTTCTTATCAAATTAAACATAAATTTGTCACACTTTTTAGGCATTTACCTAAGAGAAATGCAGATATACAGATCCATACAACAACCTAAACCTTATTTGTAGAATCTGTTGCTAGTTGCCAAAAAGCAGGAATAGTGCCAATGTCAACCAACTGATGTACCAATTATGGTACATCTGTACAACACAGAGCTACTTAACCACAGAAAGAAACTATCTACCATGTCTACCATGTTGATACAGTCAGTGGCATGAATAATCTCAAACTCATGCTTTTTCATTCTATTATATGACAATTCTACAAAAGATTAAACCGGACATGGTAATTGCCAGGAATCGATAGTGGTGGGAGTGGGTTGGCTGCAAAGATTGATGAGGGACTTGGAGGGATATTAGAAATATGTGTTTTGGAGATGGTGTTGGTTATATGAATAAATTGACAGAAGGTATGGAAGGGCATGCCAACAAGGACAGATTGAACTGCACGTGGCTTCCACCTCAGTAAGTCTGATTTTCAAAAAGAAGCTGGTCCTTCGGTTTCCAGGGTTGCATTGGAGGAGCTCTGCTGGAAGAGCAAATGGAACACGGGCAGGAGTGTTTGCCCAGGATGCACAAGGCCCTGGGCCCGAGCCTCAGCACCCCAGTGGAAAGACAAAAGAACTGCCAACTCTTGGACCTGAACAGGTGGGAGGACACCAGCCAGCCAGACGCCCCATGGTTGAAGAAACAAGTGGGAACACTGAGTCTTGACTTCCAAGGCAGAGGCTCGTGAATGGAAGCAGCTGTGGCAAGCAGTGCTGATGTAGGAAAACCTGAGGCTCTGTGTGGTCACTCTGAGAATGCCAGCCTCCTTGGCACCTGGCCTTACGTAAGGATTTCCTATAGTACTGAGAGATTTCCCTCCAGGAGTTTGCTGGAGACTCCACACTAAGTACTTGAAAGGGGGAAAGAAGAATTCTGGGATACTTGGAAGCAGTCTTCTTCCCTTGCAAGTCTGTATCAGGAGCAACTGTTTAGTCAGAGCCCCAGCTTCTAGAATAGTGTTGGAGCTCCACAGGGATTGCTGGACTCCAGCTGGCTCTAGCCTTCCACATGGGAAATAACCCAACTCCAACCTACTCTTCAGTCCTTCCCTAACTTATGGGGTAGAAAGGGTTGAAGATCAAAATGGAAAGGGAACTGGATAGTCAGAATCTGTGCAATTATACAATATGCTTCTAAATAACATGTACATCAAGGAAGAAGTCTTGAGAAATTTAAAATATTTGAACTAAATAAAAACAACTCCCAAAAATATGTGGGAGGCAGTGATGGTGGTTAGAGGAAATTTAAAGCATAGTATGCATATTAGAACAGAAGGCAGAGAAAGATTAAGTGTGAAGGCACACTGTAACATACGCCTGGGAAGGGGAGTCAGGAGGAGTGTGAGCTTGCCACCAGCCTGGCTGCACACTCAGACACTGTCAGGGAGAGGAGGAAAGTGAGTTAAATCTAGAATTAACAGAAGGAAAGAAGAATTTAAATCCAGAGTAAACAAAGAAAAATAATGAGATTGAAAACAGATGTCAACAGAAATGCTGGTTCTTGGAAATAATAAATCTCTAGCCAGGAAAAAGAAAAACTAGAAAGGACACAAATGATTCATTTTGGTGATGAAACAGAAGACGTCACTGCAGAGCCTACGAACATGAAAAACGTTCTAAAGGAAAAGTATGATAATGCTAGGCCCATAAGTTTGATAACCTTGGAACAAACCAACTCCTTCAAAGACGGTTTGGCATAGCTCATACAAGAAGAAATAATTGGCAAGTGGATTAATTCATGCAGACAGTGGAGTCTCATTCATTGCTGAAAGGCAATGAGCTATGGAGCTCCAGAAGAACAGAAATTTGGATGCATATCATCTAGTAAAGGAAAACAGTCTGGAACAGGCTACACTATGTGGCTCCAGCTGTTAGATCTGGACTAGGTAAAACTATGACTGTAAGAAGGGGAGGATGTTAGAGCTTGGATGGTGCAAAGACATTTGTGTGGTGGTAAAATTACTTTGTATATACTACTGTGGTGGGCACGTGTCATTAACGATTATCTCAACCCATTGAGATTGCAACTATGATCGCTTCTCGGCCTTTTGGCTAAGATCAAGTGGAGATTGCAACTATGATCAAAACTGGATTATGAATGACAATAATAAGTCAATATAAGTTCTTCAGGTGTAACAAATGAGCCAACTAGTTTTGGAGGTGGTGGGAGGAGATGATAATAGAACAGCTGTATTTGTAGGAGGGGAAGGGATTGTATAGGGAAATTCTGTACTTGCCTTTAATGTTCCTATGGACCTGATCTAAGATGGCTCTAAAAAAGGAGGTTTGGAGGTTTATGTAAATTTACTGGATTTGATCTCTAGCAACACACACACACACACACACACACACACACACACACACACACACAGAGAGAGAGAGAGAGAGAGAGAGAGAGAGAGAAAGTTTAAAAATAAGCATAGTCCTGTCAAACTTCAGTAACTTGATTAAGCACGCACTAGAGATATGTTCTAGTTTCTCCTGAGTTTGGTTGACATCAGCATATACTATCTCTCACCATTAATTCTAATTATATGGTGATCCTATACCCCATCATTAACTTCGTTCCAGTAAGGTGAATATCTACAGTGTATTGAAACATACCAGATAAGTTTCATAGTGATAATCAGAAAACAAGTAAAATTAAAAAACTGGACACAATTGGATGCTATGAGAAACCAAGTTATTATTTAGAAAACTGTTTTTTAAAGCTGTTGTTTTTAATGGTGGGGGGGGTAGTGACTGGTGTGATGTATACCATGAATCACAGCAGTCAAAAGGCAGAGGACCACTGTGAGTTCAAGGTCAGCCTGATCTAGATACCCAGTTCAAGGTCAGCTGGGGGACAGAGTCAGACCCTATTTAAATAAATAAGAAAGAGGGAGAAGGGATGTAATTTAGTTGGCAAAATGCTAGCAAGCGTGAATCCCTGGGTTCCATCTCTAGCATGAAATAAACCAGTCATGATGGTGCACATCTGTAATCCCAGCACTGGGCAGATAGAAGCAGGGAGATCAGAAACTGAAAGTCATCTTTGGCTGCAGAGTGCCAGACTAAGATACATGAGACCCTGTCTCATGGTTTTAAAAGAGTTAAATGTTTATCTTGGCTTTCT